GATCCGCGTTTGCTTTTCAGGCACACCGCTTTTCCGCGCAAGCTTACCTGCTGGCCCGCGGCTGTGTGCACGTCTCCAGAGTCTCTTTGTTCTCTAATGGCGCCCGGAGCGGTTCGCTCACCGCTGCGGCAAATCCTGCAGGGTTCTCCACAGCTCCAGTTCACGGGGTGTGGTGGCTGAAATAGTTCCTTTCCACTCCCAGTCCCTCTTGATGCGTAGTTTGTTCTTGTTGGTCGTTTTAGTCTGTTTTTTCCTCATCTCTGTTGGTCGGAGAGTGCCGACTCTGTGGGTGGGGAGGGGAGCAGGGTTCTGCGCTTTCCTCCCTTCTAGTCCTCTTTTATGGCAACTTTCTTCTTTGGGTAGTTTGCTGGAGTCATCCATTTATCTTCCGTGTCCCAGTTCTCACTGAGACCTGTGCTAATCCTCCCTATTAACTTTTTTTTTTTAATGGGAGATTTTACTTGCAGCGTCTCCTTGCCGCCATGTTGCTCCGCCTATGCTCTACTACTCAGTCTTAAGATGTGCATGAAGGTTTTGAATTCAGAAGTCTGTTTCCAGTAAAGTGATATTTGCCAAAATGAATTTTGCGGACCCGTGCTTTTCTGTCTTTTACAAAGACTTTTATGTTTTACATTTAATACGTTGCAGTATGCATTATGGATAGAAACTTGCATTATATTATCCTGTGAGGAACCTGCTGAAATGACTATAGCCAATGAAAAATGAGAATTTGTCCTTGAAATCTGGACAGACTAACTCAGGAAACAGTTACCAAATACAGTTTCTAAAACACAAATAGCATTTTGATCAGTGATGGTGACTTAGTAGAAAGGTGGAAGTTGTCATGTAAATGTCAGAAGAAGACATACATGAAGTCATTTGTATCCCTCTAGGTTGTAGCATTTGGCAGTGTCAAAAAAAAATGAGGAGAAGTAGGCAGAAGGTGACTTTCCCTGCCCAGATTCCATCCACAACTCGTTTTATCAGGTATTTGTTTTGATCCAATAGAATGAGAGAAGTTTAATATGTAGAGAAGTTGGGGGCCTCCCCTGGTGGCACAGCGGTTGAGTGCTGGGCTGCGAAGCTGCCCGCAGCCTCTGTAGCACCAGTTCAATCCCCAGCCATGGGCGAGGGTCCTACATGGCGCGCAGACCTCTCCTGTCACATCCACTGCTCCCCTCAGCAGTCTATTTCATCAGTCTGCCTGTTCTGTTCCCATCTCTGGCTCTGGTAAATTCTCTCACCATCCCGTACTTCTGACTACACCCAGTGCTTGTATAAATAAATAAATAAATAAATAAATAAGAATTTATAAAATGTGTAGAGAAGCTGAACCTAAAAGACCTTGCCCTCAGGAGCTCCCCTGGTGGTGCAGGCGGTTGATCACCGCACTGTGAAGCTGTCCGCAGCTTCTGCAGCAAGGGTCCCAGATGGCACTGCAGACCTCTCCTGTCGCACCCGCTGCTCCCCTCAGCAGTGTATTTCATCAGTCTGCCTATGCTGCTCCCCACTCTGTTTCTGGTGAATCTTCTCACCCTCCCGCGCATCTGGTCTGTACCCTGGTTCTTATATTAAAAAAATAAGAAAAAGAAAAGACCTAGCCCTCAGAGACACTGGCAGCTGGAAATAGGTTAGGTAAGAAAATCTATTTCCTGAATTCAGAGAATCTTAGCTCCTTTTCTACCTTGTTTCCTGAAATTCAGCAGTAGGAGAACAAAGACCAGAGAGTGATCAACTCTGGCATTATAGGTAGGAAATTTGCATTTGTGCTAATACATAAGTATTAAATTTATATCTTAATCCTGGCTTATAAGAGCGTTATATGTATCTATATTGTGGCTATTATCCCTCTAGGTCTAGGTGTGTTTCTTGGTACAGGGCTGAAGTTTTTAATGTTGTGAGACTGATACAATGCTTCATGTGTCCCTTAACTGATATGCAGATGTGAATGGTGTTCTCATCAGACTTACTTGTGTTTTGTCAGCTAAGGCACAGGAGGAGATAGAACGTGTGATTGGCAGACACCGGAGCCCCAGCATGCAGGACAAGGGCCACATGCCCTACATGGAAGCCTTGGTGCACGAGGTCCAGAGATACATTGACCTCCTCCCCATCCCCCTGCCCCATGCAGTGACCTGTGACATCAGATTCAGGAACTATCTCATCCCCAAGGTAGGTTGGTTGTTCTTTTACTGACCTCATGATTCTACTCAGAAGTTCCTCTTTTCACAGCATGGGTCCAATCCTCCGGACTAGATGAGCAAATTATAAAAATCATATATGTGGCAGCTTGATAGGTTTTGTGTTGTTTCTGTTTGAGACCAAATTTTGATATTAGCACCTTTCTATTTATATGTGTAAGAGACATTTGTGATTGGTGGTGTACTTTCCTGATGATTACAGTTAGTTCCAGGGGTTAGGATCAAATTCACTGTTTTCACCATAGGACATAATGAGGAGAAGAGTTCTTGTCGAATATTGGGGTCCAAGAGCAATATTTAATTGAACTCATTCTACTACTTCAAGGCCAATAACAATAGAGCACTGGGCTAAATAGGATTGTACATGTTTCTCATCTGCCCCAGTTGGGAATGATCATTCCCTTTTTTTGGGATATACTGACATAGACTAGGCAGCACTGCAGGGCTGAGTGTGCCTTCTACCGTTTACATAATGTTTTCTAATCCAAACCGGATCCACGGATCAAGGTACAGTCTAAGACAGAAGTTGGTAAAAAAACTTTCCCTAGTGGGCCAGATTTTAAACATTTCAAATTTTATGGGGCTTGGAGTATCTGATGCCAGTGTTGACATCTGTCATTGTAGCAGGGAATCCATCACAGACATTTGTAAACAAGTGTGGGTGACAAATTCTCAATTTTATGAAAGCCCAACTTTAGACTTCATACACTTTTCATGTGCCAAAGATATTTATTCTGCCTCAGTTTTTTTCAATGGAAAATGCTTACATCCTGGGTCGACCAAAAACATAGCGCAGACTTATTGCACATGGGTTGTTATTTTTCTGTGTAACAGCTCACTTTGAAATGATGTGAGGTGATTTGTGTTTTTTTGGGACCCATCTAAAGGAAATTTTCCAGCACAGGGTCCAAGGTATACCTTCATCTATTTTTGAAACTTATCATTTTAGTTCCTATGTTTACTACCGATCCATTCAACTAATTTTTACTCGTGCAAAAGCAGTGCTGAGGTAGTGGTCATGCTTCTGTATGAGTATCCATTGTTTGAACAACATTTGATGAGATTGTATTGGCTGTATTTTTTTTTTTTTTGCTTTTTTGTATCTTAAAAACGTTTTTCATATTTGATTAGTTCAATATAAACAGAATAATTTTTCCAATAGAGATATAGAATATTTATATGGTAAACTTAGGGAATGGAATTTTCTCCAAATTTGCATTAAATTTTAAAAAATCTGAACACATTAAAGGGGTATACATGTATATGTAATGGATGAAACCATCTACCCTGCATACCCCATGTCTTCAATGTATATATCCAAATTACGATTTTCAGACAGAAAAGCAGATTTCACTAGAGTTACCATTATGAAATAATGTTTAATGTGCAGCCTATGTAGTGTTCCCAGCTTCCCTAAACTATCCCAGAATAACCTTTCTTTTCTCTGTATTCCATCAAGGAACCACATATAGTTTGTTTGTCTTTTCTTTTATTCTTCTGGGTCAGTTGTCTTTGCACTGTTTTTTTCTTTCAGTTCATTCAGCTTTGTGAAGAGTCTGGCTGTGGTCATAAAAATATTCCTCAGAGTTATGTTGTGCGAAGTATCCTAGGGACTAGATTCCCATTATGATTTTTCCCAGAGAAGTACATAGTGCTCTGAATGTCCCACTGAAACCCAGTGAGGCAGCTGAGGGCACATGAAGTCACTTATTCCATTATGGCCATGCTATGTTCCCCACATAATATCGTGGTACCTGCCAGATTGTGAGTATGGTGCTGCCTAACCATTCATCCAATCCCAATCCTTTAATAACAATCAATTGAATTAATGATCATAAGATAGTTGTTGCAAAATGACTATATTTCTCTTTTTGTCATCCTTTCTGTCTGTGGCTGGCATCAATCTATGATGGAATCTATCCTATATATTTTTTTATTTTAGCGTTTATCATTTTTAGCACTTTTTTAGACAATATTTGCTTCCCCCACCCCCTCAGATTGAGTCCCCCCTAGAATTTCCTTCCCTATGGTACACATGCACCATCACCACAGTCTCCTGTGCTCCTCCCTCCATCCCTCTCACGCCTCTCCCTCCTCCTACCCTGCAGTATGTCTCTGGTTTATAATTGCCTGTTTTTGCTTTGTTGTGGTTTGTACTGTTATTATTTTTTTTTACACTGATTCCTTATTTGGTTCCCCTACATTCCTGTTATAAGTGAAATCATCTGATATTTTTCTTTTTCCTTCTGGCTTATTTCAGTGAGCATAATTCCTTCTAGCTCCATACCCCATATTTTTGAATTAATAGAAACCACTTGCTGGCACAGTGATGAAAACACTATAGTTACTACTGTACTTAATTTATTATCACATAAGTTATTTTTAATTTGATTGTCTGATTACAACAGGTCTATGGATAACTGCAGACATTTCAAGCTTAGACAGAGATTTCCATTTGTAAGCATAATCCATATATGAGATGAGTAAAAAGTGAAATGATAAAATCAAGGTACTGACGAGGAAATACCCCAGGTCTAAATATGATGAACAGAATGACTTCAGAGGCCTGGCACTGAGGGTCCGGGTACTCACTACTTCAGGTGCCACTTAGCAGCATCGCTGCCACTGGTCATATGCTCGTTTTTGTTATTACTTATTCTGGCTGACTTAAAATGCCCTTTCCTTCATGGTGTTAGGCTTTTTTTAATCTTCAGATGCTGAGATTGGACTAAATGACTTGTAGTTTTTCATGAAGCTCCACGGCTTCAGAAGACATTTTAAATATTTTCTTCCAGGGCACCACCATATTGGTGTCACTGACTTCTGTGCTGCATGATAGCAAAGAATTCCCCAACCCAGAGGTGTTTGACCCTGGTCACTTCCTGGACGAGAGTGGCAACTTTAAGAAGAGTGACTACTTCATGGCTTTTTCAGCAGGTAGTGTATCTTTTGTATTCTTTGTGCATCAGAGGACAAGATACCTTGTAAGGATTGTTAGGAGCTTCCATAGTACCCTCTCCAAGGCTGGTGCAGATGCGCTTGTCTGTTAGCAGGAGCACCGAACCCTGTGTCCATGCACTTTCCCTCCTCATGATGCAGTCTTCTCGTTGAGCCAGATCACTGCAGAACTGGGAATTGATCCAATTTTTCAAATTCAGAAATGATTTAGTATGAGGGCCTGAAAATATAAGAGTCATGCATATTGCCAAATGAACAGCACTGTAATATGAAACCTTAAACTTTGCGGTGCATTGGAGAGTGGCAGAGAGCAGGTCTATGTGGAGTGCGGAACTAAGACAGTGAAGAATGAGAAGATCATGAGCCACCAGATCCATGCAGAAGAAAGCACGGCCAAAATATGTGTTTCTAGAAAGATACGGCTAGAAAATTGAGGTGTCAAACAGGCAGTTATAATGTGAGAATCCTTAATGAACTATTCGGTACAGGGCTGATACTGAGTAAACATTTGTTGTAAGGAGGGTACCTGTTCCTTTAACATTCAAGTCAGAGCACGTGTTTCAACCCTTTGTCCAACTATAGCCAACCATCCCGTTCCATCCATCCATTCACCCTGTCATCAAATATTTATTGAAATTCCCTTTCTCTTTTTTCCATTTCCACTTTCCAATACATCATCGTATTCCCCATAGTTCTCCTGCCACTGTATCTCCCACCAGCCATCACCATATCCCTTGGATTCATCCCTCCTCTCGTTTGCTCCTTCCCCCATTCCCCTCCCGTCCTGTGGTGTGTCTGAGTTCTGTGGTCAGCTGCTAGTTTTGACTTTTCTTGACCTTTTGTTTGGTTTTTCTGTATTCTCCTTGTAAGTGATATCATCCAGTATGTTATACATTCCTTTTCTGATGTCAGAAACACAGTGTTCAAGGATCATCTCCTCTGTGCGCTTGTTATTTTCAGGAAAATGGGCATGTGCAGGAGAGGGCCTGGCCCGCATGGAGCTGTTTTTATTCCTGACCACCATCTTACAGAAGTTTACCTTGAAGTCTGTTGTTGAACCCAAGGACATTGACACCACCGCAGTTGTCAATGGGTTGGCTTCTCTGCCTCCTCCTTACCAGATCTGCTTCATTCCTTTGTGAGGCTTCTGCTGTGATGTCCACATTTCCTACTCACCTAATGCCCCTGTCATCTCCTTTTGTCTCCCTTCCCTTTCTGGAAAAGTCATCTCCCACCTCTCCTCTACTCATCACCCCATTCTGTCAGGATCCAGGCAGGAACATCCATCTCCACTAAAGGAGGATTTCCAGTTTCACTAAACAGATACATGTTTCACTTAACAGATAGAGATATTTTCCCTCTCTGTAACATTGTATTTGGCATCTCAAATGCTAATACTTTATCTGGTATTGAGTAGTTAGTTCTGTGTCATCAGTGTGACAGAGTGAGATGACTGGTGTATGTAATACAGACATTTTTCTTTTGCATGTTCTAAATAAAACTCAATCTGATGAACCAGTTCTCATGCTTTCATTCCTTTGTGTATAATGCAGATAGCAGATGGAAGAAAACATTTTACAAAGAGACCAAGCACAGAAAAGGACAAAATCTTGAGGGTAGACCAGCATGTCACCTAGAATTACTTGTGATTTGGAAATGCAAGTGAGAGAATATGTTCAGGAGCAGCTTCATCTGAAGAAAAATATGACATTAGCGATTCAAAGGTGTCTATTTCTATCAAGTTCTAGATGAGGCAAAAGTAATCTGTGGTGCTAGAATCCAGAGCATTGTTAATTTTGAGGAAGGTGAGTGACTGGGAAAGATCTTGGGCCTTTTCATGGAATTATACAAGAACAGGGGTACTGATCAGATGTGCGGGAGGATGAGAGGATTCACCAGAGACAAGTGGGGAACACAGCAGGCAGACGGACCAAAGTATACTGCTGAGGGGAGCAGCAGGTGAGATAAGAGAAGTCTGCCCCCCCATGTGGGTATCTCCCTGACCAAGCGGGAATTGAACCGGCACTGCGGGGCTGCAGACAGCTTTACAGTGCTGCACTGGGTGGCCCAAATTTGGATTTTTCTATGCCATGCATTGACTGGTTTCCTGGGTGTTGATGTTTGAGTATGATGTGAGCTGTAGGCTCCCAGAGGAGTCAGAGGTGGGAAGCGGGCAGCCAAGGAGTCAGAGGGGAAGCGGACACCCAAGGCCAGGGCAGACCGGGAGCGGAGGGGAGTGCATACCCGCATCGCCTTTTTGGAACAGGGACCTTTCTTCAATGAAGACTGCTTAAAACCAGCAGAAGGCTCCCAGAGAAGCCAGAGGAGGTGAGCTGGGAAGTTTGCCCATGCAAGGCCCCTTTTGGCCAGCAGTCTGAGCCCAGAGAGGGAGCGGGCACCCACAACCAGGTCTAACCAGGCGCACAGGAGTGTGCATCTGTCTCCGAATTGCCATTTGAGAATAGGGACCTTTCTTCAATAAAGACTGCTTGAAACCAGCAGAAGGCTCCTGGAGGAGCCAGACGTGAGCAGGAAGTTTGCCCAGGCCAGGCCCCTTCTGGCCAGCAGTCTGAACCCAGAGGGGAAGCGGGCAACCAGGGCTGGGACAGACTGGGTACGCGAAGAGTGTGCCTGTCTCCAAAGCGCTATTTAGAACAGGGACTTTTCTTCAATAATGACCGCTTGAATTTAGCAGAAGGTTCCCCGTGGAGCCAGAGGGAGAAAGTTCCCTGCGCAGTCAGAGGTGGGCTGAAGGTCCCCACAAGCCATGTCCCACCTGGCAGGAAGTCGGAGCCTAGAGGAGGATCCAGAGATTTGGAACCCAGAGTGCAATCCAGCTGCCCCACCTGCAGGGAAGTCTGTGGGACTTCAAGATGCACCTTTATAACTAAACACAGAAGGAGGAGAGATTCTGTGACAGTGACCATTAAAATACTCAAAGTACCACTACCTCACTAGACTTCTGGCATAATAGTTTTTGACTCGTTTGGATTGCCAGTTTCTGAAACTCCCGAAAGAACATACCAAAAAGATGCCAGCCAGTACCAGCGGCACAGTGTCCCAACACATAAGGCAAATTAGAAGACAGACAGCAGGGAAAAGAAAAACTACAAGCAAAGTAGCAACACCTCAGAAAAAAGACACGCCACAAAAAAAAAAAAAAAAAACCCACCCACCAGCTTGCAACTATGGTGACTTGGAAGAACTTTTGAGCCTTCCAGAAAAAGAATTTAAAATTGCCGTGATGGAAAAACTGATGGAAGTCATTAAGGAAAACAATGCTCAGAAGAATGAAATTGAGTTCCTAAAGAGGGAAATAAAAGAAATGCAGGAGATCAAAGAACTAATGGAGGCGCTAAAGAACTCAGGGAAAAGCAATGAAAGCAGAATAGATGAAATGGAAGAACGAATAAGTACTCCTGAAATCACAGAAATAAAAAGAACCAAAACAGAAAAGGAACGAGAAGTACGAAGGAAAAAGACCAAATAAAGACTTTGGGAACTATCTGACTCCATGAGGAAAGGAAATATAAGAGTTATAGGAATCCCAGAAGGAGAGGAGAGAGATGTAAGAACGAGAAAATATTCAAGGAAATAATTGAAGAGAACTTCCCAAATGTGAGGAAGGAGCTGAAAATTGATATACCAGAAGCAAGAACACCAAACTTCCATGACGAAAGGGAAAATACAGCAAGACACATAATAGTGAAGCTCCCAAGAATCCAAGACAAGGAAAAAATAATGAAGCTGACAAGAGGGAAGAAACAGATAACATTCAAAGGAAAACCAATCAGGCTGACATCAGACTTCTACGAAGAAACACTACGGGCAAGGAGAGAGTGGAGGGACATAGTCAACAGACTCCAGAAAACAAATGCCAACCAAGAATATTCTATCCTGCAGAGCTCTCCTTCCTCTATGAAGAAAGAATATGGACCTTCCTTCCCAGACAAGCAGAAACTCTGGAATTTCATTACAACTAAACCCCCACTCCAAAAAATACTGCAAGGAGTCCTAAAGCCAGAACCTCAGAGGGACGAATAACATTACACTAATACCAAAACAGAACAAAGACAACACAAAAAAAGAAAACTACAGGCCAATCTCGCTAATGAACACTGATACCAAAATCCTCAACAAAATCCTTGCCAACAGAATCCAACAATGTATCCATAAGATAATTCACCACGACCAAGTAGGATTCATTTCAGGGACACAAGGATGGTTCAAATCTGAAAATCAATCAATGTTATCCAACACATCAACAAAAAGAAATATAAAAACCATATGATAATATCAATAGATGTCGAGAAAGCTTTTGACAAAGTGCAATACCCATTCATGATAAAAGCCCTTGAAATTCTTGGGATACAAGGAACATACCTCAACATCATAAAGGCCATATATGACAAGCCAACAGCTGGTATCATTCTCAATGGTGAAAAGCTGAAAGCATTTCCATTAAGATCTGGAACAAGACAAAGATGTCCACTCTCACCACTGCTTTTCAATATAATTCTGGATGTCCTAGGCAGAGCAATAAGAAAAGAGAAGGACATACAAGGAATCCAAATAGGAAAAGAAGAAGTCAAACTATCACTACTTGCAGATGATATGATAACATACATAGAGAACCCCAAAAACTCCACAGAAAACCTAATTCGACTAATCAATCCGTTCAGTAAAGTGGCAGGATACAAAATCAACACGCAAAAGTCAGTAGCCTTTCTATACAGAAACACTAAGTCTGAAGAAGAAGAAATCAAAAAAACCATCCCTTTTATTATCAAAACAAAAAAAATCGGGCCTCCCTGGTGGTGCAGCGGTTGAGCGCCGGGTTGCGAAGCTGCTCGCAGCCTCTGCAGCGCCAGTTTGATCCCTGGCTGTCCCCGGCCACCAGAGGAGTGTCCCACATGGCACGCAGACCTCCCTCCTGCCCGCTGCTCCCCTTAGCAGTGTACTATGGTCCTTCTGCCTGC